CCATCAATCTTTCCTGAACCACTTGCCATTTTTGAAATAAATAATATTATCCCTATACGAGATGAATCATAGTATAAATGTTGAAGGTTATTTATGTTTATTCCTTTTTAAGACTATTCGCACCGGCTCAAAGAATTTGCAAAAAGAATTCAATTCTTTAGAAATCTTCATAAAATATTTCCCGCACCGCGAAATTTTTCTCTAAAATCAATTTGAAAATCCATTTTGCAAATTCTTTTTGATTTTTCAATCAATTTGGGACCTCAATTCTTTGGAAGAATTGCAAAAGAATTTGCAAAATGGATTTATTTATAGAATTCTAAATTTGTATACACCAATAGAATACCTTAAAATTTTAAAATTGCTGGATTTTTTTTTTTGGAATATGTATGTGTGGAAGCCTGAGGCCCTGAGGAGTATTCTCGTTCAATTACTACTTTGGTCTCCCTCTGGAGTATTTGGGCGGCATTGACAATTATATGAACACGTAAATTGTTTTCTGGATTGTTTTGAAAATTCCGCACTCGTGAATTGGAAACTGAATAAATAATTTGGATAAGCCAATAAAACTTCATGAATTGTCCTTGGAAAATTCTTTTAATAAAATACCGATGAAGGCTGGGACTCAAGTCGAATGCCTCCTGATTAAGGCCTCAGTCTTTTACTATATACTTTGAAGTAACTAGTAAATAGAAACGCACTTTTTTAAAATGTTCTATAGATTTTAGAATCTAAATCAATATATTAGTATATTGATACAAACACTTTCATAAGTGTCAAAATTGATAAATTTACATTTACGTGTTAATTTATTAATAGCTTTAAAGCTGTTATTATAGGTAAAGCACTTACGTGTGATATTATAGTTGCTACTAATACGTAGAGAAATTTTATGATTCAACCATAAATAAAGCTACTATAATACATAACCACTTCCGTGCCGATTTACAAATTGCACTTACGTGCGATTTTAGAATCAGCTTCATTTACTATAGTGTATTAGTACGTTAGATGAATCTATATAGTCTACTTCATAGTAGACTAAGGATATTCAGATATCAAAAATAGTATAAAAGCGAGGGGCTTGTCCTGAGCTTCTTCATTTTGAAGCATGCCTCCTAAGAGGCAGACCGTAAAGAAGAAGCCAGCGAAGCTTCCGGCAGCACACCCGCGAAAGCGAATCAAGCGTTCGATCTTTTAAAATTTCTAAGACAAAAGACGCTTCTAAAAAAGCAAGTGCTTCTCAAAAAGCAGAGGTTACTAAAGTAACAGGTGCTTCTACAGCACCCGATGTTTCATTAATATCGCAAGTTGCTAATGCAACAAGTGCTTCTACAGCACCTAATCCAGTAATGGATACATCTCCTGAAGAGAAGTAAAGAGCCAAAGCCTTACACGTAGCAGATCTAAAGCGGCTGCTAGTTCTTCAAAGAACACTGAAGCTGGACCAACTTTAGAAGTTGAAACACAGTCAATAGATATAGATCCAAATACTGATGTGGATCCAAATACTGATGAGGGTCAACCTTTACAGGTACCTCATTGTAAGTCCTCTAAAGGTCAACAATCACTAATCTCAGAAAGTGATAGGGAGTCAACTCTTAAACTTTCAAAGACTCAAAGTACATTAGCGGGCAGCTCTGCAGAAATACAAAGCCCCAAGCAATTCGAGAACCAGAAGACTCCTAGCTCTAGTTATGATAAATCAATGAAAATCATACAAACTGGAGATCGACGGATGTCTCCAAGCGAGCTACTGAACAAGAGCTTTAGAGTTCTAAATCACGTGCTTCGCGGCGCAGTTGGGCGCCCGAATCAGACGATGAGGACAATAGAGCGGGAAATGCTTCTACCCGCTGTTACCGGAATCCCGGTACAACATATTCTAAACTAGAAACTAGAAGCCTGCGACTATAGAAGTCTTGACTGTACTCGACTTTGCCTTCTTGGCATCAGTCTTAGCAGCTTTAGCTACTCGTGTTTGTGCTGCTACAGCTTTAGCGGATTTAGCTTGTGCTCCTGAAGCTTTAGCTTTTGGTAGAAACAAGACTTCAGCTGAACCTTTAGTTTTTATACTGGTTTCTAGTTTAGAATGTGTTTTACCCAAATTCCAGTAACGGCGGGTAAAAGCTTTTCCTGCTCCGTTGTCCTCATCATCTGATTCGGATGCCCAACTGTGCTGTGAAGTACGTGATTTAGAACCCTAGAGAATATAAACAACTGCTTGTCAAGATCGTGTATTACTGCTGATAACCACTCCAGCAGAATAGTTATCATATCGATTAGCGTAATATCTATCTGAACTCATCTGTATCGAATGTTTTATTGTGCATTATTGAGCGCGAAATTTAACTTATCAAATAATATGTACTACTGCTAGTCAATATTGTGTCTTAGTACTGATACTCCACAGACATAATACATATCACATTCCCCACCGTACGTTTACCCGAGCTTTTCAAAGAATACACCAAGTTTACCATGCGTTAGCACCAGAGATGAATGGTTTGCAGGACATCGCACAATACTGTGGTTACCCATGTATATACGATTATTTGAAATTGCTGAGATTTGTTAGTGTGAAGATATGTCTGTAAATACGTTTGTCACAGATATTACGATTGTATCTACATCCGCATACATGCAGGATCACTCCTGAGTGTCATGTTTTTCTTACTTGCTATTACATTGGTACTACTTGAGTAATATAAAGTGGATGCTGGATATATATCTGAGCTTTTCATGAAAAAAAATAGTTCACAGTCAGTCGGTATCAAATTCAGTGCGACAAGCAAAAATAAAGTGCACAGCTCTTACTTAAACTTCTGCATATGTACCATGTACTGGAGCAAACCCCTGAAACAGAATTGCGCCTTGCGTATGACGCCACAATGCTATGTAGCTTAAATTTATTCAAAAGTATTTGCGTATGCAGGGGACTTATAAGAGGAGAAAATAATGCAAATGTTCGCACCCGACACAAGTCCAAATCCAGTGCTCCACGAAAATAATGTGCTGAAGTATAATATTCGGCATTACCTGGCGCTGAATATTATAGCAATTTGCGTCACATTGCTTGGGATATGATTTTCAAGAAGTCGTGGCATTTTTCCAAGACCTGTCAAAAGTCCCGAAGATTCAAGCCTACAAGTACTGAGCGACAGAACTATGTTGTCGGTGTTTTTAGAATAGCCGAAAGCGACATCAGGGTTAATTAATTTGCATGTAGTGATACAGCATCCGTCCAACCTGATTAGTCGACCACCATATTGCTATCGTGCATCAAACAGGGATAGCATAGTAAATCAGGCACGATAATAGACATTCAATCACCACATATGGTGAAGAGGACCACTGCGGAAAACAATAAGCAATACAGAGTGAAAGTACATGATGTGTATGTGCTACTTTTGTGAGAGACTGCGCTTGGCTAGATACTCTAGTCATAACAGAAGCGCCAGTATCCTTAAGATAAGATAGCTTTATCGGCAGTGGCACTTTGTCAAATTTAATACAGAGTGAAAGTTTATATTGCCTATGTGCCTCTTTTGGACGTGACTACACTTGACTGGATCCTATAGCATTTCATGTCCGACCTATTACATGAGTGACAGTCCAGGTTGCGTATATGTCTTTTTTTTTTTGGAAAGACTATCCTCTTTTGGAAGTGACTACACTTGACTGGATACTATAGCACTTCATGTCAAACTTATTACAGAGTGACAGTCCAGGTTGCGTATATGCCTTTCTTTTTGGAGGAACTGCGCCTGGCTGGGACACAGCAGATATGTCAGTGACCTTAAGGCTAAGTATATCTACGGACAGTGGCAGTTCATGTCAAGTTTAATACAGAGTGCAAGTTCATATTGCGTATGTGACATTTTTTTGGAGAGACTGCATTTAGCTAGATACTTGGGTCACAGCATTAACGCCAGTAACGTTACAACCAAGTATTTCTGCCGACAGAGGTACAACATACATAGTTTAATACAGAGTGAAATTTTATGTTGCGGTATGTGTCTGTTTTGAGAGAAACTGCTCTTGGCTAGACTCACTTTTCACAGCAGAAGCGCCGGTAACCTGTACACAAGGCACCTCTACCTACAGTGGCACTTCTTGCCACATAAAAATACAGAGATAAAGTTCATGTTGCGTATGTGCCTTTTGTAGGAGACCGCACCTGACTAAAGAATCTGGTCACAGCAGAAGCGTCAGTAACCTCAAAATAAAGCATATCTACCTACAGTGGCAGTTCATCTCAAATTTCTCGAAGCTCGACCAGTGAACCCGTCCAATTAGAGTTCCTGTATCACTTATGTGCGGGAACAAGCCTCGATTCCAAGTATACGGCACTCAAACCGTAAGGCGGATAGACTGCTGAAATATGGACATAAATACGTGTCTTATGAAATACTACGGTGATACAGTTGTCAATTCGAGATAGTTCATAATTTCACTTGCAGACAACCACGCATGCTATCTTGACAAGTCTCACGAGTCTACAGGGGAAACAATTCGAGTCGTCGTGGGAATGGAAAAACACCTTGATGCATACTATCTATCGAATAGTAAAGCTACCTCTGTATTCTGTCGTCTACACTAGGTGACGACCTTTAAAAAAATAAATTTAGTTTTCTATTCTCTGTTGGACTGATTTTTAGTAAAAAAAAGTGAAGACCTATAATTTGCTGTTGGAATAGTTGTTCATACTGATTTCGTCTTAGATTGGTATATGGTATATACTGCCACATAGCCTTCTGTATTAAACGTTTGGAAGGCTATGACTGTCCATGTGTTCTTTGAAGAATCGCATTTTGACGTTCGAAATTTTGGGAAGGATTTTTAAATCAGATAACTCGTAATCAAGTTGGCACAAGAGCTAGCACTTTCTAGACATTCTGATTTTGGAAAGGAGGATGCAGAGATTTGGTAATTGATCTTGCAACATCAAGTACGCTGGCTTCTTGTGCGAATCGATATAGTTTTCTAAGCATTGTGCATAGTCAACTACCTTGGTAGACAATGTCTGATTTTGTTTATTACTCCACGTTGCACAAAAGTCTATCATTTCAACTCATGCCAAAAGTGGAAAGTAGGCTCGCGAATGCACCCATTGTAGTGTTTTTCTGTTGAAGTAACGGATTCTCGAGTGCCGCAATAAGTTGATCCTGAGCCAATTGTTGTGTTTCCTGCAAAACGAAAACCAAAGGGTCTCAGCAAATACCTTTTTTTCCCGGATTTGATCGTTAGTACAAGACTATAAGAATTTTCAGTTGCAAACCTTGACCGTAATATACTATGCAAAAGATTACACAGAACCATCTAGTGCCACTCCTTAAACCTCGTCGTATGACACAGAGTTACCACCATATGCCCATTGTACTAATTCCAGCTGCACAAATGACTACAGAGCAAAAGAAAAAAAACACTGGAATAGACGAGCACACCACGTGCTTATAACAAATAGATTCTAAAGTGAACTCCTCACACATAGTACAGTTGTGGGGATACGAGTGATACGAGTTTTAGGGTTGTACAAAACCCTAAAATCGGGATGGAAATCGACTCTCACCTTTGGCGCGTCCATGTCGTGCAACTCTTTTACAATTGTTCTCGCTTGCCCAAAGTCGTTCTCTGTCAGGCACTTCGTCAGAAGCGTAAGCTGCAACGTTCAATCCGCAGAAGTTAGGTAAGAGCAAGATAGATGCATTCAGTCCTAATCTTAACTGATGAAATGATCTCGCGGGATATTAAAAACTGAGCCACTTGGCGTATTGAATGTCAAATTAGGAATCGCTTATTGCAATCGGGTCCATGTAAAATCTCACGAGTGTCTGAGTTAATGGCGAAACTACTGAACAATTTAGGCAATGTTTTGATGTCTCAATACATGTATCAGTATTTGTATACACTGAAAGCGATCGGTTGCTCTAGGGACAACTCATCCGTCCCTCTAAATGTTGATATTTCTTATGCATAAACCTCAGAGTGCCAGAGAGATGTACTGTATCTGCACATAGCTCAACACATCCAATGATCTATGTAAGCCTTTTGATAATTGCAATCCGCATCGGATTTATACTGCAACAACTCACTCTGGTATGAAACGCTATGACACATATTATCGGCGATTCACATCTGGATAACAGTTTGGTGCTCTTGCAGATATCTACACCTATGGCGGAAGTATCGGTACTTTTATACGTTTTATCCAGCGCATGCTAAAGACTGCTACGTGTCTGTTTGCCCCTTGTGCAATGTAAGGTCGCATGAACGCGTTTGTGAGCGTGCAGTTGACATACCCTATTCTCCGTCTCAACCAGCTTCGCATGTGCCAGTTGCTTCTCCAACATGTCTTGTCGTGCAGCCTCCAGTTTTTTGTCTAATCCCTCTCGGGTGTCTCTCAATTTCTGGATCATGTCACAGCAAACAAAGCGTTAGCACTCAACCTCGCAGTCTAAACATAGAAGACCGCATCTCTGGCAAAAGTGCCTGAAGAATAGCAAAATGAATACGAGGTCTCATGGGCAATCTCCCTCATAATCCTATAGGACGACACCTTATCAGAATATAACAGTATATAGACAGTGGAGTTGTCGTTTGCAGAATATAACAGTATACAGACAGTGAAGTTGTCGTTGGATATGGAAGCGGTCAGATACACGGTATGCAAGTCGCTATGACACGCTAACAGCTCATTTTCCTATTGCTAAAACGCTAAAACACAATATATCATGCTTCTCTTCTAGAGGTCATAACACCGTGCAATATTTTCAATCACCGAATGCACACATACCTTCAGTTTCTCAGCTGCTTCTGCCTTCTCTTGTGTAAATTTCTATGAGTATCAAAGTGTGTACATGGAATTTTAGTGGCCCGGAAAGCTGGTAGGTATCACTAAGTTGTTACATCCGCGACGACTAAACGCGATAGTTGGACACACTCTGCGCGCTAGGAATAGGAATGCAACTCTCGCTTAGAAGTTAAAGCGACAATTGTTCATAGAGACACTATGCGAGCTAGGAATAAGAATGCTACTCTCGCTCAGAAGTTAAAGCGACAATTGTTCATAGAGACACTCTGCGAGCTAAGAATAAAAATGCTACTCTCGCTCAGAAGTTAAAGCGACAATTGTTCATAGAGACACTCTACGAGCTAGGAAAAAGAATACTACTCTTGCTCAGAAGTTAAAGCGACAATTGTTCATAGAGAAAGACATGCCTTCCTTTTGGCCTCCATGATGATCTTTTGGCTTCTGGTCTCACGATTGAAAGCGTCTTTCTTATCAGAAAGCTGTTTAGCCAACACCTACGAGTTTAACAAGCGTGGCTTTAGTGTGAGTTTAACAAGCGTGTCGTTAGTGTGAATTTAACAGGCGTGGCGTTAGTGTGAATTTAACAGGCGTGGCTTTAGTGTGAGTTTAACAAGCGTGTCTTTAGTGTGAGTTCAACAAGCCTTTAGTGTGAGTTGACTCTGTGCAACAGATCCCGTTCAAGAACTGCCGAAATGTCTGTTCATGTTGTGAGGGCGCTTGAATTATAAACATCAGTGAGGCTAACTGAATGTGCTCGCACATGTAATCGAGGCCTAACTTGTTGGTAGAGTAACATAGTAAACCCTAAACCCTAAACGACCCCCTAAAAAGTATCCAGATGACCTGCACAATTATCTCTTCTCGAATAAAAATGCACAATGTATGGCCCCAGAAGACTCAGCATAGTTTACAATAGAGATACACCCAGCCGTAAGCTAACGACGAGTGGGAACACGTCTCTGCCCCACTGAGACGTCAGCGTGCACTGTGCATGCACTCAGACTAACAGAAGAGAATATTATTAAACGCGCGTCAGCTAGTCCGCTGCGTCACTCCGTATGCAATAAGGTGGTTGGATGTCTTATCCAGCTACAGTGGACTATAAGTGAGATAGTCTAGTCCGCTGCGTCACGAGATAGTCGTTGAATATATGCAAACTACTATGTAGAAGGTGCCTACACTCCGAAAACGGGCACAACGTCATACTCGGGGTGGGCTAGTTTAAATTACTTTGCATTGGTTGTAGACACACACACACATTCATGTACTGGCCACACAGTCACACACAAACAAAGACAGACACAGACACAGACAAAGACATAGAAATGAACACACACACACAAACACAAACACAGAAATAACACACATACAAACACAAATAAACACACACACAGACACAAATAAACACATACACAGACACAAATAAACACACACAGACGCACCCCGTACCTCCATCTGTTTCCTGACGCTAGCGCTCTGTGCGGTCTTTTCCTCTGCCAGCTGTTTCTGTTCGGTTGCCAGTTTGGTTTGTTGGTCGGCCTTCGCCTTCTCGAGCACTCGTTTCTCTCTGTGCAGTGTGGCCAGGCGCTTGCGCAGATCATTCTCAATGACTTGGATGTCCGTCTCCTGTCCAGTGATAGGGCAGCTGTCTATAGACAAACTCGACTGCAAACGTGTGGATGAAAGCAACGGCAGTGGCGGATGAGTGACAGTGAATAGTTCATGTCATGTGACAGAAAGTACTCACGAGATACAGTCAGTCCACTGCGAGTGAGAGTGGTAGGTACAGACTGTCAGGGCCACGCACGCGGGCATGCGACATGTGCACCAGACGGCACACGCCGCAAGCGATGAGTGGGCAGCCCACACGTGGGGTATAGTTCATAGCGAAAGGATATGAGGGTGCAGGCACAAGGATTGTGATCCTGTCAGTGTACCTATGTACAACGATGCGTGGTCTGTCACTCAAAAACACGACTGATGTATTTAGAATCGGATGAGTTGATCCATAGACCTCTTGTGTGGTAGATTGGGTTGCAGGCACAGATAGTCAGTGGTGTCTTTATGTACTGTGCTCGCGACAACAGCAAATGAAATCATGTGTCCATAACAATCAATCTCTTCCGAATGATCTAGAGCTCATACATGGTTGTATGTTCACTTGAACATGAAAAGTTGTATGCTACAAGTATTAATGTGAGCATACAATTATCATGTTCACTTGAACATCAATAGAATAATTGAATGCTACAATTATTAATGTGAGCATACAATTATCACGTTCACTTGAACATGAATAATTGTATGCTACAATTATTAATGTGAGCATACAATTATCACGTTCACTTGAACATGAAAAACTGTATGCTACAATTATTAATGTGGGCATAAAATTATCATGTTCACTTGAACATGAATAACTGTATGCTACAATTATTAATGTGAGCATAAAATTATCATGTTCACTTGAACATGAATAATTGTATGCTACAATTACTAATGTGAACATACAATTATCATGTTCACTTGAATTATCTCAGCATCACAATGCGATAGCAAGGCTCACGTTGTGCTTGTGTTCCTAGAGAGAACATCTGACTCTGCACATTTCATAAAACCCTAAACTCTAAAGCCAGAACTAGTTATACAACATGACCGACAATATTTGTTGCAAGCCAAGTTTTGGTTGGCACTTCTATTCACAAGTGACCGTCGACTATATCACTGGAAGGTCCAGACGGATTCGCTTATCAGGAGCGTATCTACATAACTAGAGAGAGAGAGAGAGAGTTCATCACTCCCTGAGTTGTGCTATCTAAAAACTAACCCAAAGACGAGAGACACAATCTATCTTATGCTGTACACGCTGAATTCACCGTTCTTCGTACCATGCGCTTGTAGTGGTTGTTTGTATCACAAACCCTCTCATTGGCTCTCCCGTTTCCGTTATATACACAAACTGTGAATGCGGAATACACGGTTTGCCTGACAGCCGCAACCAGTCACAAGTTTTAATCTCAGCACACACTTTCGCTTACGATTCATGTTAGAATGAATATGTCTTGTACTATTACAATACATGAAATTCGGACGTGCCTTACACACACACATATATATATATATACATATACATACATATATATATATATATATATATACATACATACATACATACATTACATATATATGTACATTTATATTTGCGAGTAAGAATCTTCGCTTTGAAGCCGCAAGAAACCCGAAGCTTCACACATATATGCACCCATCATTTAGTGCATACGTGCGATAGACACCGCACACAGAATTAAATTTGCACACATATATAAAGACAACAGCCCCTAAGCCCTGCAGCAGTATAAACCCTAGCCCCTCCAACACGTATAGAGCACTACAAACAATAAACCCTACAGCATGTAAATAGCTCTGCACTTGAGCGTTGGGCCCATGTCATCTGTGTCAGCAAAGCATCCGACAGCCACACAAACAAATAGCGTGTCGTGTGTGACATAGACAGTGTCCGAAAACAACCCAACACATACAATAGTCGACAGTCTACGCCTCTCGGGCTCAGCGTTAAAGCGTTTAAACACTTCTTTCTTGAGATCAGCGCTCACCCTACCGAACCCCAACGCCAACGACCCAGTGCCTGCAACATCCACTGGTGTCTGTCCGTTCTGAAAGCGTTTGTTCGAATGGAGCGCATCAGTAGATGTGAATAGAATATTGTGAAACGTAGGCGGGTTATGAGATCAGGGATGGATTAAACAGTCTGCTGATGACTGCCAATCGAGACGCAAAAGTACATGCTAAGCGTATCTATAGGTCGTTGTTTCTTATGGGACGAAGCATACGGAAGCCAAATGATTCATACACACTTTATGGTTGCCGCAATGAAGACATTGCTCACGACGCCTGAGGGTGTTAATGTTCCCCAAAGAGTGTTGTAAAGATAGTTACTTACACATACTCGAGGTGTACATACAGTGTTATATAAATTGATACTTGCACATAAACGAGATCCACTGATATAGAACTGACCCTTAAGTCTCCGCAAACATTCGCAATGATATAACTTGGCCAAACGTGAAGATGGCGACAGTCCATGAGCTGAGCATGTTATTTACGGTTGACATCGCTCTTAGTTGGTTCAATCCAACCACGCAGGTGTTGTGGCAACGATCAACAACAACACACGCGGTCATAGCTCCCTCACTGAACACGTATTAAAGCAATTTGCCACGTTCGCTCACTCACTGAACACGTATTAAAGCAATTCGACCACGTTTCATATGAAAGGTAGAGCTCGAAACAGCTGTTGCCGTGCATCTACGAAAGACATATCAGACAACACGCTACGAAATGTTAAACAGTCGTCTTCACTAGTCCAAAGCCACTCTTATATATATATATATATATATATATATATATATATATAATAATATAATATCTCGACCAACCTACCTACTACGAACGACGTCGCTACCTTACCCTTACC